ACTCGTTAGATAGAGACAAAATTAATTAAATTCCACGTTTAACATCTAAAGTGAGGTACGATTCAGCGTACATTCTTGATAAACTGTCCAACGTGCACTGCTCTCTGCGGTTTTGTGCTCAAAGCACCCGCTGACCGCCTGGAGCACAGACGTCCACTCGTTTTTGTTCTAAAATGGCTTTCTAAAACTAGGATGTATAAGTGTAAACGGGGCCTAAGTGTGTATTTTTCACAAGTAGGTCGCTGCTGCAATGGGGGCGAGGCAGGGTGGACAATGGCATCATCTATTAACCCACCCCTAATATATGGACAATGGACAGATGGAACTCTTAAAGGACGTTCGAGTTAAGAAGCAACCAGAACTATGAATATACTCAAACAACTAAACTCCTCTTTTCAATTCCAAATGTTATCGTAGCCTATACCCATCTTTTTATTTATTGTTTTTATAATTATTATTATTATTTTTCAGTTTTTACGATGTGGATGTCATAATTGCAAGATTTTAGTATCATTTTGATTATTAAATATTCAGCAAATACAGAAAATACTAATAAAGTTTCTGTTCATCACGTTAGTCAAGTCATACCCCACGAACCAGCTATATATGTCCTCTTGACACAACCTTTCTGTTTAATAACTATTACTTATATTTTTACAGTGGCTGGTTTCCATGTTACAAGTAGTAAAGGTCCGGGTTCCTTCCTATCACATATTTATTACATCCAGTGCTTAATTTGTGAATTGCGAGGTCCCGGAACAGATCGGGGTAACGGATCCGGCATGTTACCTGCAGATGGAGAGGTGTTGCGCATGTAAGTGAAGAGCGGGATGGGGGGGAGTCACGGAAGAAAGTGAAGCGGGTTGGGGAGTCGCAGAAGAAAGTGAAAGTGAACAGCAGAGAAGGGAGGAGGGCGGTTGAGGAAGGTAATCGGTAAAATCAGGTGCCGGATAAGATTTCAGAGGTGCTGGATCCAGCATGTTCTGGCACAAATTAAGCCCTGATTACATCACATATTTAATATACATTTACATATAATACATGTATTTAAACATTTATTATTAAATACGCTACCTCCCATAAATGTCTTAACAATTTAAAACTACTCTTGAGCCTTCGCAATGATAAAGGTACATTTCGTACAAATATAAATAGCCTTTCCTAAACCATGCTTACAAATGGATCGTCACCCCCCTTCGTAAATACAAATGTAATTTCTGTGGAAAAACTTACATCTTTTATTAATTTAAGAGTATGGAGCGATAGAATGTTGGTCCACAAGATGACAAACATCCACTGAGGTAAATCAAGATGTAGTGAAAACTAGCGTATCTGTATCTGACACTATTCAGATATTGCTCCGGCCGGAAGTATCAATACGCAATTATCGCTGTACCAGATGTGCATTTTCAGCAGGAAGTGTGAACATAATTAAAAATTACAGAAAGAAGGGATAGTTAACCCAATGATAACAAATCTGTCATTACATACTCCTATTTGAGTTTCTTTCTTCTGAAAAATGCTGGTTGTTCTGACCTATTGACTTAGATTAGGAATTTGTTTCATACTATGGAAGTCGATGGATCCCAGCAACCAGCATTATTCAAAATGTCTTTGTGTTGAACAGAAGAAACACAAAAAGGTTTAAAACACTCAGGTGCAAGTAAATGATTTAGGAAATATTAATTTTTGTGTGAACTAACCCTTTAAAAAAAACAATACAGATATATTTTCCTCTTCAACAGAACCCCTAAAAAGTAAACAGATGAACATTTCAATGATTTAAAAAGGATCATAAGAATAACTTTAGAAGCATCATGTCTAATGACTTCTGAAAATCCATAAATATTTTTAAAAATAAAAACGTCTTCTTTATTTCAAGATTAAAATGCATAAATAATAAAATAGGGAAGCGCTTGAAATAGTCAAAACGGTTGACTGAATAATGAATAATTACTTTTAGAAACATTGAAAGCAACTTATTCCTGGTTTCTAATAAATATTTGCTGCACAAGTTGCAAATTGAGCTAAATTTGCATCAGACATTATTAATAGTACTTCAAGTTATTTCAAGAGTTCAGATATTTGAAACTTCCAAAAACTTCCTTTTTTCTTCACATCACTCCAAACAGTAGTATGTAGCGAGTTAAAATATGCGCAAATCTGTTGGTTTTGAAACAAGGAACACCAGCAGTCGAAATGAAGCTGCGAAAGCAATCCCCAAAAGAACATCAATGTGCATCAAGATACTCAAAGCTACTTTTTGATGGATCACAAAATACAGTAGATGCTTTAATAAAAACACAGCTATTGATTTCTCAGCCTAGCGCATGTATTACACTGGTGAGAGCAGCCGTCTTCACTCCATGCCTTCTGCATTTGCAAGGCACACAGAGCTCTGTCCTCAAATGCTCAAAGCAAAAAGGCATGACTGTCCTATTCCAGGAAAGGTATTGGTTACTTTAAATTTGTACGAGATGAGACGTTTTGAGCTCACAGCTCGCTAGAGTGGCAAACCCAATACTGCTTTGATTCAACCTGATGACAAAAAGACCTTCAAGCATCACTTTTTCATATGGATATCATCTATCATTCATCAGCTGAAATCCAGCACATCTTTTCTCTCCAGAACATGCATTAAATACATGCAGCATAATCAATTTCTTATATAAGCCGGTTATCAAACGGTAAATCTATCATCCTTTTCATATACCTTCAGATATAATTGCAAGGGGAAAAAATGCCTCATCATTCCAGGCCTTCTGGCTATTCGCTGTTTTTTTTTTTTTCTGAAAATAGTCGACACGATAACAGGAACTATATTTAGACGGCTCAAAGAAACAGGCATAATTCATTTAATTAAATCGGCACCAATCCACAGGACAAACTCTTGTTTCCTCTTACCTAGAAAAATCCTTCATCGTTTCAAGGTGTGCTGACAGTAGCCCTTAATTTCGGAGGTATTCATGAGAGTACAATCTATCTGCTCGGCTCTTTTTTATTTGCCTGTGGGAAACATAGTTTCTGAAGGTTAATAAACAACCCTGCATATCCCAGGCCCCGAGATCATTTATCAGATTGCGATCTCTTACAAAGCCGGAGAGTGGCATGCAGTTTTATCATTTTAACAACGACGGCTAAAAGTGCCCGAAGAAGTCCGCCTAATAGGTTATTTTGTTATATGATTTCGTTATCAGATATTTCTTCTCCCCCTTCCCCCCTTTACTTGGTCTAGGTCGCGGTGGAGTAACAGCCATGAATCCCTAATGAATCCTCTTCGTAATGTCCCGCGAGCAGCCTGGAAATAATAGGCTCGTCCCTGTGCAGCCGCTCTGTGGCGTCAACCTTACCCAGCCCGGACATCTCCGTGATGGGGACATCGCACTCCGCTTTTATGGCTTTTCCACATCAAACAGTCCTTTTCAGACTGCGATACCATAAAAAGCGATTATAGAAAGTTTCAGAATAGGTCTTGGTAATGAGGAAGTTCATAAAAAGTCGATTCACAAGCTTTTGATTCAGTTCATGTCACTTTGTTTAATTAGGTATATGTAAGCTATAATGTCAGCCCGCATTCCTGCAAAGTCAATTTTAAATGAATTCAAATGAAATGAGTTTCTCATATAATGCTTTATTTAAACAGGTGACCTTGTGGTGGCAAAGTATGAAATTAAAAAACGTCTATCAAAAAGTTGCGGATATAATAAACACGAGCACTTCTCTGTGGAAATCAACTGAAGTTAAGTTGAACAGGTTGTCTAAACCAATGCAATTACTGTATGAAAAGAGACTCAAAATCCTGCCTTTTGGATTCCTTAAGGTCGATTCAAAGAGTTGTGTTTATGTGAAAAGTTGCTGTATGTGTACATGAATGGAGTCTTCACGTGCTGCTCTGTATGTCCTTCATTCACTAGAAAGAATCATTTGTTTGTGAATCAGACGCTGGTTACTTTGTGAGTTTTTGATTCACTAAAATCAAGTTCAAATGAGTCAACTATGAATTGTCCTGCACCGACTGGGTTTAAATATTGAATTTACTTAAAAGAAATGTTTGGTCTTCACTGGTTACTCTTTATGTATGATTCTCTAGTGGAAAAAAGCTATTTGTTTGTGAATCAGACTACATTTGTTGTTATGTATGTCTTTGATTCATTTGGAACCAGCAGTTTATATAGTTTTGTGTGTGGATCAGATTACACTAGTTACTTTGGATGTTTGTGATTCACTAAAAAGAACCAGTTCACAGGAGTTATTTGAGCATCAAAGTACACTTTTGATTCACCAAAATCAGGTGGTTTGTAAGGGTCAAGTGTACACTCTACTGCACTGATTGAATTTGCTTAAAAGAAATGGTTGGAAGAAAAAAAAGAGATTGATTGAGCAATTTGACTAAATGTAAATGTAAATGTAAATGTTTGCGAATCAGACTACAGTTGTTGTTATATGTCTTTGATTTACTTGGAACCAACAGTTTACAGTCATTTACTTGAATCAAATTAAACTGGTTGATTTGGATGTTAGTGATTCACTAAAAAGAACCAGTTCATATGAGTTATTTAGGAATCAAACTACATTTTTGACTCACTAAAATCAAGGGGTTCGTAAGAGTCAATTTTGAACTGTACTGAACTGATTGAATTTGCTAAAAAGATATGGTGGGAAAAAAATGATTCAGACTACATCTGTTGTTGTATATCTTTGATTCACTTGGAACCAACAGTTTACAATCATTTGTTTGTGAATCGGATTATACTGATTGATTTGAATGTTTGTGATTCACTAAAAAGAGTTTATATGAAGAATTTGAGCATCAATCTACATTGGTTGTTTTTTCACATTTTTGATTCACTTAAAAGAATCAGTTCATATGAGTCAGTTGTAACTTCACTGTTTGCTCTGTATATCTTTGATTCATAAACAAAGAATTGTCCTTAAATAACCAGTCAACCCAATTCTGATATTTCCTTTGATATGACTTTACATCCTTTTTAATCTGTCAGGTTGTTCGGCGTGACGGGAAACTGTGCGGCTTGCAGTAAACTCATCCCAGCGTTCGAGATGGTCATGAGAGCCAAGGAGAACGTCTATCATCTGGACTGCTTTGCCTGCCAGCTGTGCAACCAGAGGTCAGTCAATTCACATGCAGTCTTCTCAAACATTTGTTATACTTTGTATGTACAGTATGCACCTCCGTGCAAAACTGTTTAAGCACTTAAACATTCTCTTGAATCTAAAGAGTCATTAAGCTTACTACAAGGACGGTCCTTCTTAACCTCTTTGTCATGTCTGGTGCAAGGACACAATGGCGATAGGAAATCCCAGCAATGCTCCTGTTCATGAATCAAACCTTCTAATGGTTTGAAAAATGACCTTCGGATTAAAACCCACCACCCTACCACTGAAAGACTGGCCAGATGTGTTCTTATCCAAATTACATCAGTGTGTTCACCACTGGTACAGTCCCTCTGGAGCAAGAAGTACATTGCTCAAGGGCAAACCAGCGATATAGGGGAAAACTCTCCAGCATATGAATCACCTTTCAGGAGAGAGAACCAACAACCTTTGGATTACATCAAAGTATTGAACCACAACCATCATTCACAATATCTATTGATTCTAATCAATAGCCACTGAACCACAAGCCCATTTGTGTAACAGCCGTACTACCACACAGAAAAAGTGCATTTAATATGTACTTTTATGTATTAAGTGGCTCATAGTACATCTCACCCTCGAGCATCATGCCTTGCTCAAGGGCACAGTGATGATCGGGAAGAAAATAACCATCAAAATGCCCCTTCTGGGGATTCAGCTAATGACTTTAGACAGTTTGGAGAGTTTCACCACCGCCCTTCATCTGCAGCTGCTCATGTTAGACTTAGAAAGGAAGAATCAGCAATGATAGAACAAAAATGAAAAGCCTTTTCCTTGCATGCAAACAAAATGATCCACACAAATGCACACAAAAATACTAAAAATGGTGGTTTATGCCAGGCCAGTATGTGACAATGGCAGCTTGTAAAAAAAATCATGTATTTTGCCATTGCCATGCATCCAGAACTACAGATGTACATGTAATACATATGCATCATGACACTGTTTTCCCCAAATTGCTTTTTCTTTATTTGCATGAAGTAATTATTGGATATTTGAAGTAATTAATTCATTAAATTTAATTTCCAATGCTTGTTTTCAAGCTTCCAAAACCCTACAATCATGTAAATCAACGATGAAACTGGAAACTGGAAAACTTCAACTCTGAAAACTGGACTGACAGTTTCAATTTACTGGAACTTCTGTGTTCAGCTTCTTTGATAGAATCTACATTGTAAAAGCGCTATAGAAATAAACATGAATTGAATGTAATGTAAATGCAAACCACAAAAATGTTTGAATTTTTGGTTCAAAATGATGTTTTAAAGTTACCAGTAGCCAGTTTTATTATATCAGAATGAAATGTGGCTTTTACACCAAGGCAGCTTGTCTGTAGTTTTATTTTCCTCAGGAACTAGTTCTGAAAATGTGATGTGACTTATTTAATAGAAAATAGGAATAATGTGAATCTAGCTCAAGATTATTTTAGATTTTATATCTTAGGGTTGTGCGATTAATTAAAATCACAATTTGAACATGCGAGATTTCTAATTCACCTCACGATTTTCCTGCAGTTTGCTATTTGAACCAATCATAAACAGAGCGCGAAAACAGGTGACATAAACAGAGATGATGAGTTCAGTACAGGGGGACTTAGTGCCAAAAAAGTTAACATCTGTGATGTGGGATTACTTTGGATACAGGATGTATCGCAGAACCAGATAATTTGTATGACCTGTCAGTCACATGTTGTGAAAAGCGTTTGGAAAGCGCGAGGAGCATTGATTTCTTCAGCATTCCTTCATGTACTTTATTTCAACCATGAACCATTTTCTCAGAGGACTACAAACGAACAAAACATTGCTTTTATTTAACATTACGCAAGCGTGCTGCTCCTAGATTTATTTATTTTTTTGCCATATGTCTGTTTCACAGAGATGTTACAGGCTTTTGAAAAAGATCTAATTGTTTTACTTTGGAAATATTTTTCCGATTCACATTTAAAAATGTCTGTGTGGGGCAATGATTTTCAAGAATATCTTGATAGGTTCCTTTTGCCCACATCCCACAGCGCTAATATAGATTGTTATACATTTTTTTTAAAGGATTTTTGTTTCTTATCTGAAATATTTGTTTGTTGATATCTAATTAAATACCATGAGAGAAACAAATCAAGTTTTTTCTACACATATTGTCATGTCATATCATACGTCAAAGTCATTGCTCAAAATCATGTTAAAGGGATAGTTCACTCAAAAATGAACAGTCTGTCATTTACTCACCTATTTCGTTTCTTTTCTCCAATGAACACAAAGGAACATATTTTGAATAACATCAAGAAACCGGTGGCCCCAGACTTTCGACTTATTTTTGGACCCACTTAAGTATAAGTTAATATTCAGCTATCATCTAAATCAAACTTTCCAGTATCCCACCCTTACTGATAGTCATTCTAAGATGTCTGGTTATTTTCAGGTAAACACAGCACAGCTAAAGTAGTTCCAATAGGTTTTGAGCGCATCACAGCTCCATATCACTGCGCTGAATGATATATTTCACAGCTACAACAGTCGGAAATCAGATCAAAACACAATAGAAAGCTTTGGAGGAGACGTGGAAGAATCTAGTCTTACATACAGGAGCAGTTTTAGGACAAAAACCTGACAAATAAAGTCTCAAATATTATTTAAAACATTGATTATCCTAAATAATCTTCTCCTGTCAAAATTAATTACTCATTGAAAAAACAGCAACTCTTAAATATTCCATGGCCTGCAGTTTTCTGGCTGAATGGTGTTGTTTGTCCTCATTCACTCTAAAACGCGAGCCCATTTGTCTTAGAAGGTGTCCGAATGCTGAAGAAAGCTCATGCGTGGTCTGTTCATTAGAAACCTGCTCCATACAAACACACAGGTGCCACAGAGCAGTACACACCAGAGAGGCAGATTGCAGGATCCGGTTACGCTCAATTAACACCAGGTTATTGTCTTGCCACTTCACTTGACTGCACGAACCACACTCACCTAATCTAAGAAGTCAGCTAATCTTCATCAAGCCGAGCCACAGACAGGTCAGCCCGCTCGCCCCGCCATTACAGCCCATTTAGAGCCAGGCAAATCTTTCTTTTTACATTAGGCCAGCCGATCAACTGTTTAATAAAATCGGCGTCAGTCTGCTTCACACGCTCTGACGAGGCCTCTATGCATCTTTCATTCGCCCGTCACAATTTCACAAGATTTATAGCACAGATCCCGGTGCTAATTGCACACTATCTCAGACCAGAGCTTGGATTTCCTGTCAGTTTGTTCATGTTTTTGGTAGGAGCATTGATGTACAATGGAGTCCTTAACAACAAATGCAGGTTCAGGAGTTCTGAAAGGCATTATATGCTTAAAAATGTATTGCCTAACTTTCAAAATATTAAATAAGACTCATTTAACATTAACAAGACTCATTTAAAATGTGTTCTGTTAAAAATTTGGGGGTATTCATATAAGAAATGATTCATTTTATTGAGCGAAGAATTTTTTTTTGTGTAATGGACTTTTTATAATTCAAATAAAAGCTGTTCATTTCTTATTTAGGGACACTAGAAAAATGTTTGGTCACATTTTATTTTAAGGTACAATTCACACTATGCGGTATTAGGAAGGGTTTTAAGAAGGGTTAGAGATGTAGAATACGTTAATGCCGAATATTCATTAATTAATTTTCCTTTGGGTTAGTCCCTTATTTATCAGGAGTCGACACAGCGGAATGAACCGGCAACTATTCCAACATATGTTTTACGCATCGGATGCCTTTCCAGCCGCAACCCAGAACTGGGAAACACCCATACACTCTCACATTCACAAACACTCATACACTATGGCCAATTTAGTTCATCCAATTCACTTAAAGCGCATGTCTGTAGACTGTGGGGGAAACTGGAGCACCCGATGAAACCCACACCAACATGGGGAGAACATTCAAACTCCACACAGAAACGTCAACCGTACCACCCTGCTTTAGGGTACAATTCACACTATTTTAACAAACCATTAGCTAAGACTTGTAGCTCAATAAACTGCCAATTTCCTGCTTATTAATAGGTATTAAGGTAGTATTTGGGCTGAGGTATTAAGTAGGGTTAGGGATGTAGAATATAATAATGCAGAATAAGTACTAATAAAAAGTAAGGCAGAAAAACTATTTTCAACACTGATATTTGTTACAAAATGCTTTGTATCATTTAATTGAGTGACTGAGATTTTGAGAAATTAATAGTTATGAGATTTGATACGCTTTTAAAAGTAGTTCGGTAATTATTCATTATTTTAATAAATTGTAATTTATTCGTACAACCCACAGAGAGACATTCAGAAAAAAACAAAAACACTGATTTATAAAACAATAAATACATTCAAATATGGAGGTTTTTGACCTTGAGTCAGAGTTTGAGTCATTTGATTTTGAGTATCTACAGATATCGAAACTCGATCTGATACTTCTATATTACAAAAAAAAAAAAGAATATAGAACAGCGACGAAACAGTTCCAGGATGTTCTTTATTTTTTAATTTACTGTAATTGACCTTATTTTAACATTCAACCACTCTGTTAACAAACAGAGCACTTTTGTGAGGGAGCTTGAACACTAAAGTAATAAATAACATAAATTCTTCACCTCTGGACTTTAGCGCAATAGTAATTATAAACAAATCTAATAAAAAGAAATAGCACCTCAACTTAAAAAATCTGGCAAGCAATCCCAAGTGTGCATATCTAATAGTTTACTATGGCAATGTTGTCGTCATCAACTTTATAATATCTCCAGACTGCAGGCGTACTCTTACTTTCCACTTCAAGCTGCTTCTGTGTTCTACTTTGCACACATTTAGCCAATAGCGTTTCTGTGATGTCTTGCCGCACACATTGCTGTTTCTGCGTGAAGTCAAGAAAGAGGTCTAACTCTGTGCCTAACTATAGATGTGTGAAAAAATATATATATACACACAAATACATTCGAGTCCTGGTCGGGAGGTAACGTCTG